TGTATGTGTATGTGTATGTGTATGTGTATGTGTATGTGTATGTGTATGTGTATGTGTATGTGTATGTGTATCTGTATGTGTATGTGTATGTGTATGTGTATGTGTATGTGTATGTGTATGTGTATGTGTATGTGTATGTGTATGTGTATGTGTATGTGTATGTGTATGTGTATGTGTATGTGTATGTGTATGTGTATGTGTATGTGTATGTGTATGTGTATGTGTATGTGTGAGTGTTACACTGGTGGAACACCTTCTTATCATCTTAGTGGTACTCACTTCATATGTCCTTCATAGCTACCTGGTAACATTCTTAAGAGGCCGCTTAGTAAATCACTCAGCACCATGTTACATACTAACTGCCCTCGAAGCGCTTAGTACCGCATACCAAGAACTTCAAACAAATCTGAAGTAAAATTTATCAAGGACTTCATAATTATACCAAGCACTCGGTACCAAGTATTTACCAAGTGTCATCCTATACCCAGTCTTTTAGCATAATTATGCCTCGAGTTGCAGCATATGCATATCGCAGAGTAGGCGAGATGCACTGCTGTGTACGATATGGTCTAGCTATACGGCATCGTTACTCTATGACATCACTTGGGAGATGTGTGGCTGCTTGGCCGCTTGGCTCGTACATATATGACCATGTATGTATGTTGTTACAGGGTGGTATAGCTTCACCAGCGCCCCCCTTTCCCGAGGCAGTTCCCTGCTCGCCCCTCCGAGAGGGGCACCCTAATCCATTCACCCCATCCGATTTCAGAATGTATTCATAGGGTTCAGCAACTCACTACCAGCATCCATCTATATCTAGCGTATCAATGGCGCCTCAACTTAGTTCGTGGTCAGCTCACAAGTTGATATTATCAGGTCATACACCGTCCACAAGATGGGAAGCCACCTCCCATTTCGACACCTCCCTAACACCCGTGAGGTCGGCAGGTGGATTTGATCCCGGATCGTCCGGGAACAGAAGCCAGGCCTTAACCTCTGCCAGCCACCTGCCATGTATGTGGATTCCCAGATGGACCCAACGGACCCAACGGACAATTGCAAGGCCGAGAAGGTAGCGGACGAGCTGGCGAATGAACACCGCGATGGCGGCGGGGTGCTCGCGAACATCAGGGTGGCGAGCACGTCCCGTTTCAGGTCCTATGCCAAAGGACTGGTGGACTGGCTGCTTAAAGTGGTGAAAGATAACTTGTTCTTATCCCGGGTGTGGTAAGTTGCAGGTGTGCATCTATGTATCTATTCATGTATTTCTAGGTCTTGGGGATTTGTGTTTCGGCCGTCCTGCAGGCTGATAATAATCCTCCTTCCGTAAGCACATGCAGGAAGCTCAGGAAAGATAACTGCGGGGCCTAAGCCCTGGCGTGTGTCAATGCAGGGGCTGGCAATGTAGGGTTGGTATTTCCCTTACCTTAGCCACCAGTATTTTGCTGTCGTAGCAGATCTCCGCCTGCAGCTGCCGATGAGCATTGCCAGCAGTCTATCCAAGCTGCTGCACTCCTCAGGCAAATGTGCCCAGACCCGGATTGCAGGAAGCTAAGCATACACATGCAGCAGTAACGTCTCCCGCCCATTCCTCCCTAATCCAGTACATGTTACCTTCCTTTCATGCATTTCCATGATCTAATTATCATGGTGATGATAGGAGATTCCCGACCCGCATCATTCACAGGCCTTTGGAGCACCGTTGGTACGAGTTTGGTTTCTGTGGATTGCCGCACGTGGCACGGATGACGCGATATGTGTACCTTTCTCCATTGGGCGCGCTGGTTGCCAACCATGTCCATGGCGCCTTCTCAACTGACGCAATAGCTGCGGTGATCACATACAAATGGGACATGTACGCTGGTAAGCCGCCCGACGGTCCATACATACATATCATGTCATACAAGTAGGGGCGGCAAGACCCCCTCGCCCCCCCAGTTTCCACCTCCTTACGTGGATAGCATATATCAGCAGGCTCGGATCGGTACATGGCCGAGAGAGACGGTTGCTGTAACCATGCTGGCGGGTTGATTGGTCGATGGGTGTGCTGCCTATGCCTATGCATAGGCATATATGCGGTCATGTAGCTAGCTACGTACATACTGCTAGCTGTAGGCCATGCTGCT